GAGGCTGAATGTTACTCTGGGCATGTAATTTGACAGGCCTACATTAGTGTCCGAGCACAAAGACAGCACATTACATGTCAAAACAGTGTGTTGGGACAGTATGATGGCACAGAGCCTAATTTCAGTCCCATTCCTAGAGTAGTTTTCATGGTCATGGCCCAGAAAAGAATGCCACAAACACCACAGACTGTGTCCAAGCTAACCTTTGCCCTAGATGCAAGAAAAGGAGACTCAACTAGGATTCCAGAGCTGGTACCAAGTAGCTTTCAGCAATTACTTGTTTAAAACGTGTTTTGGTTTTTTAATTGTAGATTATGAAGAATGGACTTGGAGTAGAGTCATGGGTATATTTTACAAGGTTCCATTTTTAACATGGGTAGTTTGGGGATCGTTTAAAAACAAACAGTATTGTGGAACTACTTTCTAAGTTACGTGTAGCGATTTTGATTTGGATGAATTTGGGTTCAATTTCTTACTGACATTCACTAGGTATGTGACCTCAAGTAAGTCTTCTAAGCCTCAGTTTCCTAACCTTTAAAACTGATAATGATATATCCTAGGATTTTTTAAGAATGAAATGATATAATTCTCAGTTTAGAGTCTAGAATAAAGTGGCTATTATTGTGATTATCATGGAAGGAGCCATATATGATATGAAAATATTTTTAACAAGTATTAGTATTATGTAGGAAAGGCATTGGAGTAAGTCTCAAATTCTAACATAAATATTATTGGAGGAATAAAAGAGAACTATCACTAATTTTTTTACTGTCTACAATATAGTGAGTGGGGAGTGATTTACCCTCCCTGGGCCCAGACTTCAGACCATAAAAATGGAAATAATAAATAATAAGATATTAATGAGAGTTAGCACTTCTTGAGTGTTTGCTCTATAACTGGCATGACTTCTGATCTCTTACCTGTGGTATCTCATTTCACCCATATGAGGGAAATACCATTATTCTCATCTTACAGGTAAAGCAATTGAGGCACAGAGAGGTTAACTAACTTTCCCAAATCCACACAGATAATAAGTAGCTGAGCCAGGTTTCTGATGGTCTACCTTGAAGGCTGTGTATTCAGCTGCAAGGCTATGTAGCTCACAGGTAGGATTTGTTGGGAAATGAATGACCACCTATAGATCATTGTGGGATTCTCAAAAGGAGTATTTCTTTTAATATTAGGCCATATTTGCATAATACACATAGTATATTAAGTTCCTTTAGGATAAAGTCTTAAGTCTCTAACCTTCAAAGTTGTTAAAAGAATCAAAAATTATCTGTATAACTGTTGACCTTCCAGAGAGTCAACATTATGTAGCTAACCGAAATAAAGAATTTACAGCAGGAAGTATATCTTTTTGGTGCCTCATGAACCTTCTTTGGGAGCCTTTCTCCCACCTCCAACATCTGTTCTATTTCCAGCTCTACTGCTCATATCAACAACTGTACTCCATACTGCTGGCCTCTTAGTCCCCACTGAGCTTCTAGGTCCCGAGCACACCAATGGCTACTAATGGCGAAATCAACAAACATTTTCCAATGCCTTAGATAATTTTTTATTCTTCCTAGTGCATATGACACATATAATGCCAAGATAATTTTCACCTTTTCAAGGAGGCCCTTAAAAAGTATTAGAAATGGTAGTGGCATTTCAAGCGAAAGGCCTCTTCTAAATAGACAGGTGAATGGTACCCATTTAAAGTTTTATTTCAGTTTTGTAGATTGAACCACATGGTCCCTTCCAGCTTAACGACTCTATAAGCTATAACTCTGAAGTCTTGAGTCTGAGTTGTAAGCGAGTGTACCAGAGCTCTGTGGTCAAATAAGTGTTGCCCTCTTGAAAGCTTTCACCTTTGTGGAGCTGGGCCCATTCTAATAATGGTGCTATTGTTCAGTACAGTTATGGAGGTTTTTCTCTGGGGATTTTCTTCAAAGCTTTTAGTACATTGAGTGGATTATTACCAATGCAACGATATTCATCCTGGCAGGGAGATTTTTGAGAACAGTCAAGCTGGGTAATGCTGCTTTGGGTCAAAAACAAGGAACAACTGATGTAATAGGACTGCATTTCAAGCCTGGTTTATGAACTTTCTCTGAAGGCAATAAAGAAATTAAATGAGTTGCTTCCCAAGATGATAATTTTGAGAAGCAACTTTCATTTGGATGTACATATTTCAAAGGTTTTTCTAATTTTGATTGTCTCATCCAGTATATTGCCAAGTATTCTCAACTCAAAGAGAGTAGTTTTAACTCCCATCCATAGTAAACAGTACAGATGGGTAGTCTCATTTGAGGTTAGCTAAATTTCTGTCACTCATGACCAAAGTCATAGGAGGGGAGGGATTGATAATTAAGCAACTCTTAAGTTTATCAACTAAAACATCCTAAATGAAAACACTAATCATGAATTTTTTTCTGCTTGTCATACTTATTTTGTTTCAAACAGAGGAAGGTTTACTATGGGATTTGCTAATTGGAGCCCTTTAGCCTTGGAATTGCTAGAAATCTTGGCTTTCTGCTACAGAATGGTACACTGAATTTGTTCATTGGTTGCTTGTAATTTACCCAGTAGAGTGTGCAAAGATGGCCTTCTCCTTAACTTTCAGAACTCAAGAGATGGATGCAGCATAATCAAATTGTTGTAAACATCTTTCTTGTTCCGTGCCTGGGGTGGTTTTAAGGAGCCCCTTCTCCAGAGACTGGGAGAACAAATGGCGTTTGGTGTTTCACAGAATGTCTTCAGCGACTCTGTCTGCTAATGTTTGGGGCTTTTCAAATTGAAAAAGCTCCCGGCTATAATTTTCTTCCCTTTCTGATTTGAAGGTTATGGGAGAGGGCAAGAAAGGGATGTAATGCATGCAGTTCTGATTTATCTTCATGACTTGTTTAAGGTGTGAAAGAGTTACTGGTTGACCAGAACATACGAGTTCATTCCAAAAGCACTAACCTCTTGAATCAAAAAGTGATCTTTTTCCAGAGCTTTTTAATTAGACACTTAAAAGTGTGATTTTTTTTCCCTAACATTAGATCCGTGAAACTCAAGTGGATTCTATATTTGGTTTAGAATTCTCCCATCTCTAAAAATTCTGAGAGG